CTAATTGAAGAACGACTTTCCGATTTGCGAAATATTCGGTACATCGAAAAGGCTATTATTACAAAGTTTCATATTATTGGAAACATCTATAATTTCGAGAAATTGGAGATGGAAGATGACATTATTCGAAGTGCCGAAATCACACTTGGATGTACGTTTTCTTTCACTTGAATTTTTTAAGTTGTGATTTTTTAAGTTGTGACTAAATTGCTGCCTTTATTCATTTTGAAGTTGAACAGCGACATGGAATAGTACTCGGTCATAAAGTCAAAACTGCGTGTCAATTGGTATTACATTTATTAGTTTTTTTATATATATAGCATTTTTTTCTATATATATATATTTAATTAATAAATATTAGATTCTTTGGCAAAATGGCGACCGAAATTACGCAGTGAGTGAGCTTTCTTTCTCTATACCTCTCTGGTTTTTTTGAATTTCAAAAAATTCATCGACTATTTTGAGAATTTCTAATTCTTCAAAAAAAAAAAAAAATAGAATCAAAAATATGAGCCTGCAAAAAAATGGTTTACAATCGCGTATAAATGGCTGGCAGATAATGAATTAAATAATCGAAATGCTGCAATATTACAAAGGTAATAACAATGACAATAATAATAAGTAAAAATTTACATTTATCTATTGTTTTTTGATTATTATTATCACAGAAAACTTGCGATCTGTTATCTTGAAGAACAAGCATTTGCCGACGCTACAGAAGCAGTTCATAAAGCACAAACACACGAAAAAAATTCCGCGGCAAATTTTTATATATTGTATCATATCTCTATGGAAAAAAGCCAATTTGATCAAGGTGACAAACAATTCAATAGTCTTGATTTTGTCATTATCTTAACGTCGTACGCTAAAGATTTGCTTTACCGATAATGATCAATTAGCAATTCAATATTTACATGACATGTGTAAAGGTGATGGCTTTCAAGGAAATATGTTGGCAATGGTGGCGAATAATTCATATCAAAAAAGTAATAAAGATGTTTTGGCTGAAGCATTGAAAGAAATCCTGATCAAGTACCAGAATGGTGAAGATGTTGCTAATACCGATATATTCATTCTTCTAAGGTATAATCAATCATATTTTGCGATGATATATATATGTGTGCTTGTTTGTTGTAAAGAATTTTATGATTAGTAATCGATTATTATTGTTTGTTAGGTGTTTGATAAGAATGACATTGAATTCTTTGTCCAATACTGATGCCGAAAGGTTTTGTTGAACGTTAATTTGTTTATTTGCATTTATTATCGACATTTGCGAATTTTCCAATCGATTAATAATATTGATTTTTTAGTTCACTTAAAGAGTCCATTTGTGGATATTTTGAAATAGGTAATAAAATTTTAGTTGCTTTTGAACATTTTATCAACTTTAATAAAAGCACAATAATAAAACTGTTTACATTAGCGCTAAATATATTAAGACCCAAAGAAGATTTCGATAGTATAAATAGCGGTAATATTAAAAAAAGAAATCAAACGGAAAAAAATAAATTGTTAAAAGATCTCGAATGGCTTTATAAAACCGGTAAACAAAGAGAATATACAAAGTAAACTTTTTCAATATATTTACAAATTTCTTGATTATTTTAAAAAAGCTTGGAATATAGGATTAGAATTTTGTCAAAAATCAGAAATTGGTAGTGATTTATATGCCATTAGATTATTTAATGTTTCGCACAGTGTTAGTATAATAGTAATGAATACTCTATTATTATTTGATGGCAAGATAAAATGACAATTACACCCCTCTACTCTTTCTCCCTCATCCTCTCCATTTTTTCTCTTTCCCTTGATAAATAGTTTCTTTGTGAATATCCAGAAGAAACATCAGAGATTGCAAATGGAAAAAGACTATGTATCTTTACATCTTTATGTGGACAGTTATTTCTTTCAAGGAATGAAAAATACATATCAAAAAAGGTACAATAGCTATATTATTAACGTATTGGTTTTACGAATTATGACCAATCAATAATATTATCAATTACTAATAAAAACAGAAAGAATTATTGGAGCAAACAATTTTAAATATTGATAAATACAAAAAACTTAAAAAAGTCCTGGGTAAAAGAAAAAGAACAATTGATGATGATGACGATGAAGATGACAATAAGGATAACAATAACAATCAAAATAGCAGGAATAACAAAGAACCATTAGCACAAAATGATATGGTAATCATTACATTATTTGAATTTGAAGCTAAAGTTAAATTGGGCCAATGGGATGAATTAATGAAAATATTAGATGTATGTATGCGCGTGTGTTTATTTCAATTATTGATTAAATATTAAAGCAAATGAAAAAAACGTGTTTTTGATTTTTAATAACATATTATTGAACAGTCAGTAGAAGCTTATGATTTTGAAGTGCCGTCAAGAATATTTGAAAGAATGGCAGAGCTATTGATAATTGAGAGCGAATGTCCCAGTTCAGGTAAGTAAAAATATTTCATTGGAAACTGGACTAATAAATAATAATAACAATATTATTTATTATTATTATTATTATTATTATTATTATTATTAATGGGATTGGAAAAGTAATATTTACGACTTTACAGGTTGGTTTGTTATTTTTATTGTTTAATATTCCAACTTATAATCAATAAGCCCCACTATAAATAAGTAATGCTTTTTATAGGTTTTGTTGGATTCCTTTTTGAAACATGAACAGATTGATATTGTACAATTCTCGAGATGGTTTAGAGTATTAATTATTACGGCATTGGCTAAAAAAAAGCAAGAATCACTGCAATATTTTCAACAAGCTTTAGATATAATAAATCAAGGCAATTCAAAGGTACATCTGTCATGTGAATGATATTTTTTTTTGCGAAACAACATTTTAGTTTACTATTCTTATCATTTAGTATCCCGAAGAAGAGATTCAATGGTTAATGGTTAGCGCATGGAATTGTGGAATTGATTATTATTCGTATGATATTTGTTAAAATTCTTGACGGTTATATTTTTTAATTTTTTATTTGTAATCTAAAAATAATCGCGAAATTTTTTCTTTTGTAAAAAAAAAACAGTGCTAATGATTTTTCAAATGCAAAAAATTGGTGCGAAATGGCAATTGCATTTTGTAAATTCCTTGGGAATGGATTATTATACGAGGAAGAGGTTATTAGGATTAATTTTCAATTATTTAAATAAAAATAATACAATATAAAAAAGGGTTATTAATTTTTCTATTAAATTTTTTTTCAAAGATGCGAAAATCTTACGTTGAAATAATTAAAAATTGTGATTCGTAATAAAAAAAAGCCTTGCGTATATATACAGTATTTATTATTACAACAAATTAGTTATAACAAATAAATTTAAAAATATTAAAACTTTATATTTTAATCATTGATTTAAATCTTTTATATTGTTTGGGTATAACCACTTGAGATGCTTTTTAATTTTCAAATCCTAAAAAAAAAAAATAGCAAAAAAGTATATACATATGTCTCCATTCCCCATGTTAGTGATGTGAACCAGCTAAACTGGCTAAAAAAAATTTCTTTTAACATTCATTTTTACGTCCAGAATTTTAGTGCAGAGTTCAATGGCATAGACACTTAGTTGGGTGGGTCCATCTGCATTACTTAGAATGACAAAAAATAATACAATACTCGCAGTAGAATAAAAGTAACAGTTGGAGTTCTGGATTATTAGTAAGTTTAATTCGAACATTATTTAAAAAGAGTTAATCCATAATGATCAAAGAAAGAAAAATATTTTTACGTTTAAATAATGCAAGTTCTTGCAATTCTCCAACTTGCCAAATATAAAGAACTCATTTTCTCCCTCCAAACACAACATTTGTACTGCAACCTTTAGACCATGGCATTATTTTATAGCTTGAAGGTAGTAGATACATAATCTTTAAGATTATGTATCTACTTAGCCAGGCTATATATCTACTACGACTAGATTATGTATCTACTATGACTAGATTATGTATCTACTAGGTAGATATAACTATGGCTATGATCCTGGTATGCGTGTGTTGGCACTCTTTCTTTTATTCGAAGTCATGTACATTGTTGTAGTTGCTGGCTTTTGATTGGTTCCCAAATGGTTTCCTTGCCCAAGGCTGAGGCATAACATGCTGATTGTGAGGGCTATGCCCGAACTGGATGCAAAGTATCCTGGTTTGCAAATCCGCAATGATGTAATTATTAATAAATTAGACTATTTTGTAACCAAATGGCGTATTGAATGAGTAGTCGAATAAATTGCCACAAAAACGTATAAATAGAACCTCTATCCTCCACTTTGGGCCAAAAAATTGATTCGTGAAAAAAAATACATATCTCTTATACCACATCTCTTATATCGCTATAAACAATGCATTTTCTAGGCGAACTGCCAGCTTTTTTAATTGTGGGAGGTGAGGCATGAAATGCCGAATTGGCAATCCGTATTTTGGCTTTATATGTTGCATTCGAATTCGAGGATGAGGCACAAAGTGCCGAAATAGCAATCTATATTTTGCCTTGCGCAACGTTTTTGATTTCCGGATTTGAGGCACATAGTGCAGAATTTCATTTATTTGGTAGAACGCAAAAGCAAAATTTTTCTTACTTTTCCTATATATAATTCTACCTTTGCGTCCTACCAAAAGTTTGCTAAAGTTTGCTATGTTTTGGATCTCTAGAAACCTTTCTCGCGTAGTCGATACTTTTGGGTACTACCGATTCGAAAGAAAATTGGGTCATACTTTGGTGTATTACTAGATCGAAAAATTTATTGCTTTTGCGTACTACTGATTCAAAAAATTTATTCTTACTTTTGCGTACTACCGAAAAAATCGAAAAATTTCGTGCTTTTGCGCCATAATTCCATCACACGAATTTTTATTTAAAGTTTTGAATTTTCTATGTAATTTATACCTCTTTGTTTCACTCACCTACCTAGTTATAAAGTGTCTATAACGTGCATTCGTATAATCCACTTCTGCTTCCGGATACGATCGCAACCCTCTCACAAGAGGAGGATGACGCTTCTCTTGAAACGATCTTGCTTTTCTATATAAGTTTTCCAGTCCTTCCCAACCTCCTGTATTAAGAGTTTATTGATAGCTTTAGTAGCATGAATATTACAGTCTGCTTCCTCAATATTTTGCGTTATAATTTTATCAATAGCTTGAGTTAGCTTGCTCTTGCGATCTTGCATTGTTGTCATTTTATATACTGCATAGAATATTTAATAAAAAAATAATACGATCGGGACATATTATATATATTATCTGGTCATGATATATACACACTATCTGGTTATGTCATCGATTAATGCTACCAATATGTATGCTAGATGTAGTAACAGGATTCTTGATTGCAGGTCTACGAATAGATATGATATCAATATCGCTATGAGTTTTCTTTAAGCACTTCTGATTTTTCTGCTATTTTCTCTAGCCTTTTTCGCTGATAATGATCTCGAGATCGATACTTACCAGCGTGCATTATACGTACATCATATTTAGAAAAAGTTAACTTACCACACTTTTTACATGGTGTACACATAGGATAATTCCTGTGAACATGACAGTCTTCAACTTCATATTCCTCGTCATATACTTCTTCGTCACCAAATAGATCAATCATATCTATGCTAAATTCTTTAAGAATATATACCGCACAGAATATTTAATAAAAAAATAATGCAATCGGGAAATGTTATCTACACGCTATCTGGTTATGCTATCGATTAATGCTACCAAATATATCTTTATACCAGAGCTAGTGCCAAGGCACATATCATTATCATATATACATATTAATTATTTTTTTCTGTACAATAAATATACCCATATTCAAATAGGCGAAGCAATACTAATACCTGGTTACCTGACCCACTCATACCGCGGGTTCTCATTTTTTTTCTGCAATAGTGGAACCTTTAGAT